AGCTTTGGGTTGAGTCTGCTCCATGGTGTCCGTTCTGAGCCCGAGGTTAGAGCGGGATCAGCTATCAGTGGCCATGGCCAAAGTGCAAAAGAACAAGCCAGCCAAGCTCATGTTAAGCCTTTGTCTTCATCAGATCCGTCAATATCTCTTTGGCCAACGGGAGCCACATGGCCCGGTGCATCCATAGTCCAGGGCGGGGGAAAGACACTCCCCTTCTGGTGGGAGAAGCGCCGGAATCACATGGCAAAGGGTGTGGAATCAGCGGTGGTTACAGATTGGGACCAGAAATGTAAGCCCTCGACGTCACATAGCCTGCTCCTTTTATTTTTATTTTTATTTTTTAATCCTACCTGCTCTTTAAGCTTTATGGCTCAGCTCAAATCCCGTCTCCTGTACAATCTTTCAACCAAAGGAATTGCTCCTTCTTCTAAACAAATGTGTATCTGTTATAAATACATCCTTCTAGCATGGAGGGTCCTGCAGGGAAAACTTTTGACTAATTCATCTAAAAACTAGTAAATTGTTTGTTTTAAATGCGAGGATATTACAGGGTATTTTTTTTTTATTGTGGTAAAATATTGTGGTAACAAAATTTAGCATTTTAACCATTTTTAAATATGCATTTTTGTGGCACTTAGTACATTCACATTGTTGTGCTGCAGATTTATTTTCAATCAGGCTTCTGACTCCTCATATGCATGGCTTGTTTCAGAAGGAACTCCTTTATAGGGATTTACAGAGGAAGGAATGCATTTGTGCATGTACACCCTCTTTTTTTGGCCTTTAAAAAAACGGATTTTGTGTGTGTGTATGTGTGTATGTATATATATGTATATATACATATATGTGTATATATGTATATACGTGTGTATATATACATATACATATACATATATATAGAGAGAGAGAGATGGGGGGGGGAGAAGAGAGGAAGGGAGAATTTGTTGTTTGATTTATTTATGCACTCATTGGTCGATTTTCTATGTGTCCTGACTGGTGATTGAACCTACAATCCTGGCTTATTGGGACTATGTTCTAACCAACTGAGTACCCGGCCAGGGCTTTTTAAAAAGCAGATGTTCTATGCAAATAGTTGTCAATTTATTCTGTATTCAGACTCATTCAAGCTTGTTGCCATAGCTGAGATGTATATTTTTGGATTACAACAATTTAACAGATCCCGCTATAGCAGTTTTCTGCCAGTATGCTGCAAGAACTTTTAAAACATACAATACCTGGCTGTTTAGTTGGGGGCACTGATCTCTTTTCTCTTAGATTGTCAAATTTTAAAAAATCACAACAGCCATCTGGTGTGAATAAATCAAATTATACCTTTTTTTTTTGTCAAATCAGAAAAATATGTATTTTTTGGTGTGCCACAGAATTTTAGTAATTAGTTTATATGTGCCATGAAATGAAAAAGTTGCAAATTGCTGCCCTATAGCGTAGGTTGTGAATAGGTATGAAGAACACAGCAGAATGGAAATGAGGAAATGATACATCATAATGTTAATCTCAAAGTCTTGGCAGAATAATTTTAACATGTATTTTTAGCTCTTCTTAAAACTGAAAAATAGCTTCAACATTCACATGCATCCTAATAAATGTTGAGCATTTAAGCACTTTTAGTATATATTTATACTTGTTCAGAATTTTTTCCTGAAGGTTTATAAGATAATTCATGTTCTTTCAAGGAGAACATTGGGGATATAATGATTTCCAACTTGAAGTAGAAAAATAACAGAGTATTATTTGTGGCAGCATTTTCTCCAATCTCATGCCATTTTCTGTTATTAGCGGTCTTGCTGTGTTCCTAGTTCCTTGGTAAATTTTCCTGATATCCACAGTTATAGAATCTTGAGATGCTTAATGCTCAGTAAATGTTAAGGGGCCTTAGCCTTTAGGCCAAGGGCGTGGGAGCATTTCTTACAATTCAAAGATTTTGTGTGTCTGTGTTAGACTTTCTTAATGATTATTCAGAAGCATGTCATGTTTGAATAGTCCGAATTAGTTAATTACTTAAGCATCTGAGCTAGATAGAGGACTTGAGATCTGTTTTATCTTTCTGATTCTTTGAGTATATTATTAGACTAGCTCCTCCACCCATGTTTTTAGCTTCCCTATCTTGAATGTAAAATGCAAGTAATAGAAAAAAAACACAAAAATGTTGTTGTGGTGGTGGTGTAACTACATCCTGTTGATCACATCACAATCAGTTCTGGTCTTATAATGTCCAACCTAGTATGGCTCTCTTAACCATAATTCCTTTAATTAGTGTGTAAATACATTTTTAAAAAACCCTACATATACTTGTGATAATTTCCCCCCTAATTATTTCATTGATAACTAGCATTTCCCCTTTCAACTGGGGCCAAAACAGCTGTGTAAGAGGCTTCTGTCTCCTTGACAATGAAGCAGTGAAATCCCATGGGCCCGGGCCTATAAATCATCTCCTGAGTTGCCTAGATATGCTCAGTAAATGCTCCATTCTGTCCATATCTTTCAAATGGGTCACTTGCTAAGCAGATTCCTGCAACTTTGGCAGATGCTTTGGATCTTTAGGAAGAATGTAAGGGCTTGATGTAGGCACCTTGAGAAGGGGGGTGCACCAGGCTTGGTAGACACTGAACATCCATGGTGCTTCTCAGGAAAAAAAAAAAACACCACAAAAAACCCCCACAGAAAACAAAACAAACAGACAAATAAGCAAGAAAGCTCTAAGTAGAGATTCCATACAGAGATGATCTCCTTAGCCATTCTATTTCTTTGTTACAGAGCTTCACTTAGATCATAAGCAGAATCAATAGGATAGAAACTAGGGTTCAGTTCTTAACACAATTGGCATATACACTGAATTTTACTATGTACCACGTGTTGTAGATAAAAGCATAGAAAAAGTAGGCAGGTTTTACTTCCCCTCAGAGAGGAGCTCAAAGCAAAGGTAACCATATGTTCCAGGTTATCTGATAAATTATATGCTTAAGTTACTAAAGAGGAAGACAGCAGAAACTAGAGGATATAACTGGTGGGAGGTAGACAGAGAAGTCATTTCTAAGGAAGTGACTGAAGAGGAGACCTGAAGCACAGAAAAAAGTATTGATGAAGAAGGGTCACACTCTCATGGACCTCAGGGTCTGCCCATTTCCCCCTCTGCAGGGAGGGAGGATACTCTCTCATCCTATCTTCCCCCTCAATATTGTTACTCCAGGTAAAGTAGGCCATGTTTTACAAACAACAGGTAGCAATTCTTGAGTCATAAAATTAATTTAGTGTATAGTAATTCAATTAAAAGTATACATATCTGTATATATAAAAACCTAAGTGACCGTCCGACCATCTGACCGGTAGCTATGACATACAATGACCACCAGGGGGCAGATGCTCAACAAAGGAGCTGCCAAGCTGCAGTGACTTGGCAGCTGCGGTTCTTGGGTGACACACCTGAAACCAGAGAGAAGGAAGCCCAATTCTAGGGTGTGTCACCCGAAAACGGCAATCTAGGACCCCTCAGGGGATGTCGGAAAGCCAGTTTCAGCTGATCCCTGCAGGCCAGGCTGCACCGGTACATGAATTTGTGCACCAGGCCTCTAGTTATTAAATATCAAGAGTACACTAGACATAAGGGTAAATAAGAAGTTAAAAAACAAAAGCCTTTTATTTGTATATGTGTGTGGTGTGTACTTAGTCACAATATAAAGTGTACTTCTTATTGTAGATCATGGATAAAAAAATTTTTAAACATTTGTCTAGAACTAGTAGAAATAAAACCATCCTACTACCTTGACCTTCTTTATGGTCTCATTGCATTTCTAATTATTTACTTAATGTCACTATTTCTGTAGTGAAGAGAATGGGAATTCGGGTCAAGCTAATAAGAGACCAAATTACTCAAGCCTTTTTAAGGATTTTAGATTCTACCCTAAGATAAATGGAAAATGACTGAACTGTTATTTTTTGTTTAGCTACCATTTTATTTTTAACCGTGATTAAATATAAAGGGAATTTGGGAACTAGGATTGAATGAGGGCTTTCTGGTAAATGTTCTATTCCTTTAATAAACATTTTTGATTATATATTAGGTTTCAGGAATAATCTGAAAAACAGGTTTAATAATACTTATAGAGTTACTGTGAACATTAAGTTTAGCATATTATGTACACAGTCAAGAGATGTTTTAGTGACCTTTCAGTACTTGCACCTCTTTAGGACCACATCCTGAAAGGAAGATGCCTTGTTTTGATGATAATGTTAGTTATACAGTTACCAGAATAAATAAAATAAGTTGAGAATGATAGTTAATTTAATTTCCCTGTAGTTGAAAAGAAGGTAGCTGCTACTCTCATTTTTTTAAAACATCATCTATTGCCCTAGACAGTGGTCGCAAACTCATTAGTCAACAGAGCCAAATATCAACAGTACAATTATTGAAATTTCTTTTGAATTTAAACTTTTAAAACTTAAAAACTTCTTCTAATGCCACTTCTTCAAAATAGACTCGCCCAGGCCATGGTATTTTGTGAAAGAGCCACACTCAAGGGGCCAAAGAACTGCATATGGCTCGCGAGCTGCAGTTTGCCGACCACGGCCCTAGGAAAATATGATGATGACGTAATTCTGAAATGGTAAAGTTATGTCAGAATGAATTTTTTTAAAAACATGTTTTTATTGATGTATTTAAAGAGAGAGGGAGAGGGAGAAAGAAACATCAATCAGCTGCCGCCTGCACACCTCCTACTGGGCATTAAATCTGCAACCCAGGCATGTGCCCCAACAGGGAATCAAACCAGAGACCTCAGTGCTCGGATGAGCCTCATCCAACGGAGCCACACCAGCAAGGGCCAGAATGGATTTTTTAAATAAGTGAACATGGGATCCTTCCATTTTTCCTTCCCCTGTCCCCAAATGTAATATTTATCTGACCACATTTCTCTTGAGTGCAGAAAACGTCAACATGGAGTACTATTTCCACTTATTTCTATTAATTTCCCTTCCCGCTTCAGATTTCACCACCCAATCCTCAGCCCCTTGGAGAGCAGTTTCCAGCTGGAAGTCGATGTCCTGAGTCATCTCCTGAAAGCCCAGGCTCAGATCTCAGAGTGGAAGTTCCTGCCGTCTCTGGTTAACTTGCACAGTGCTCACACCAAGCTGCAGACCTGGGGCCAGATCTTTGAGAAGCAGCGGGAGACCAAGAAACACCTGTTCGGAGGGCAGTCTCAGAAGGCTGTTCAGCCCCCACACCTTTTCCTTTGGCTGATGAAACTCAAAAACATGCTTCTTGCCAAATTTAGTTTCTACTTTCACGAGGCACTGAGCCGGCAAACGACTGCTTCAGAAATGAAAACGTTGACTGCGAAAGCCAACCCGGACCTGTTTGGGAAGATTTCCAGCTTCATCAGGAAATACGACGCCGCCAACGTGTCTCTAATCTTCGATAACCGAGGGTCTGAGAGCTTTCAGGGTCACGGCTATCACCACCCCCATTCCTACAGAGAGGCCCCCAAGGGTGTGGACCAGTATCCCGCTGTCGTGTCCCTGCCCAGCGACAGGCCTGTCATGCACTGGCCCAACGTCATCATGATCATGACGGACCGCGCCTCCGACCTGAACAGCCTGGAGAAAGTGGTTCACTTCTACGACGACAAAGTGCAGAGCACCTACTTCCTAACCCGCCCGGAACCCCACTTCACCATTGTCGTCATTTTTGAGTCAAAGAAATCTGAGAGAGACTCCCACTTTATCTCCTTCCTCAATGAGCTCTCCCTGGCCCTGAAGAACCCCAAGGTTTTTGCAAGTCTGAAACCTGGATCCAAAGGTTAGCAGGCTATCTGTGCGAAAGGTTCTCAAGAGAAGAAACTGTGTTCTTAATTGCTCTAATGATCTAATGGTCTGTGATTAGAGTTTCGATCCACTCATGCTTCTTTTCAGAGCGTAATTAAAGGCAAAGCCTCCCTACTTGTGTCACACACTTTATATGCAATTAAGACCAATTAAGTAAAGTATCCAAAGAGTAATCTAGGTTACAGTATATCTCCTTGGTACAGCAAAGTACTCTCAGTATTTTCTCCTGTTTTCCTGTTTTTTATGTAGACAATATTTATTAACCTTTGATGTTTCTTTCCAGATGTTTCTTTCTAGACGTTTTATATTCCAAACATTGTGTTCTAATGCCATTCCAAACGCCCTCTCCTTTCCCCTCCCACCCAGATGAGTAATTGGGATAAGATACTAAATGGCCATTTTAGAATTAAAGGATTATATGTTTCCTATCTCATAAACTAGCCAGTTAACATGAAATTACTAGTTTTATGATTCTGATCTACAAATGAATATTTTTGATGCCAAAATTAGATTCTTAGTGAGCAATGCCTGCCAGTTATTAAAGTTGAAGGTAAACCAGTTCAGAAGACCCTATGACAACTTTAATAGCCATGGGTTCTTCTGGGGAGATCTACACACCTAACTGCATTTGTTTTTACCCTTATGAAGTTTGAATGTTTCCCTCTGCTTCAAAGTCAGCATAAACCGTTATGTGGGATATTTTCACATAGTATCTGCTTGGCTTTCTGTTTATCACCTTTCTGCTGAAATGTATGTTCCCATTCGGCTCCACCCTTGGTTATTTTTAGGCTGAAAAAGCATGTAGTCTTGGTTTTTTCAGTCACTCTTAAACATTCATGTGACTTAGCCTACTTTTAGAAAATCAAAATGGAATCGCCGCACTTGCTAAAAATCATTGTGCATTCAAAGGACCTCTTCACACTTGTGTAATCAACCCAGTAAGTACTTAAGCACATCTGAACTTGGGATTCATGTCTGTCTCCTCCAAATATTTTTAGAAGTAGTGCTACATCTTAACACACGCTGCCTTAACCCTTTTCTTCGGTATGTGTTCAGGAGGAAGAAGGCATAACGGGGCTATGGGGACCTTCACCTCCAGCTTCTTGATTCAGAATAAAAATAAGCCAAAACGAGTAATTGAGTTATTATTTGATATTTCCTTCGAAGCTTGTGTGTCATGTACAGTAATAGTCCAGTCAGTCCTGTTTCCCATGACTGCTCAGAGCGACAAGCCGGCAGCCCTGGCCGAGATTAGAGGAGCCCCCTTCTGCCCCCCCGAGTCCAAAGGAGGCCCCCTGAGAACGGGCTACCTGGAGGAAGAACCCACGGACCTATTTTCTGGGGAGAACATGTGCTTTCTTTTCTTCCTTTTTCCCTTTTTAAAAAAAATAAATAAATAAATAAAAGTCATATGATTTGTAAAAAGCCAGTTTGCTTTAAATAGAAAGTAGTGATTTACCTCTGCATTTTATTCACTCAGGTTCTATAAAAATCTGAACAGACTGTACAACTTTGACCTTACATAAAACATTGAAAATAATTGGAACTAAAAAGTTAAATCATTTTCCCTCCCTTTTGTGCTTTGCTAAGAAGCTGAAAAACATTCCTTAGTATGCATGTCCTTTTTTTTTTTTTTCTAGATAAAACCACCATTAGCCTTAAAATATGCTTCATTATAACATGGAGAAGAGTGTAAATAAGCCTACACTAGAGTATTTAAATACTTGCCTAGAACATATTTGAATTGTATATTTATTTTTGAACATATTTTGGTTTAGGCCGAGAAACAAAGTCATTTTACTCTGAGATTTGCAGTATTGAAGTGATCTGTAAAGTGTATGTTTTGCTAATTGGAAGATTAAACCTGCATATTTTCCATAGACTGCTTATTTTGAAATTTGTTTCTAAACCACAACTTGATCGATTCTTATGGGTAATCAAGAATGTGGTCAACACTGAGTTTGTGCGTCCATCAAAGGAGTGTTGCGTGATCCACTGACTGTGTCTTTTAGGGAGTGTGTGAAAATAGAGCCCAATTCTTAACTGAGGAACCAAAATCTTTTACATAATCACTTTGCACATTTGGACATAGTGGAGAAAATCTACTTTCAAGAAAGAAAATAGTTGGTAATTCACTGCACTCCCAAGAGAGTCACTCAGATGAAGTTTAAAATACTTTGTCCACCCTTAGATCCAGCAGCAAAATTGCAGTTTTGTTTCTTTGGCCAAAGTCAGCCTATGAACTTGACTTCCTCATCTGTAAAACGGGGATAAGGAAATGTGGGCTCTTTTCCAAAGATTACGTATATAAGAACGGGATGAGATCGTAGAGTGTGAAAAAGGCTCAGAAAACATACTTGGGTTTGAAAGCTATATCAATAAAAGATGGACCGCTCTTTCCTTAAACTCAAGGCCTCTCCTGTTCTCTTTTTTTCTCTTTGGGTCTGTGACAAACCTGGGCTTAGTCATAAGTTTGAACAGCACTAAGCTAGTGTAGAAGAGGAGGCAGATAAATACCCAAGCAACCCACCCACTCTTCTTAATTTAGAATCTTTGTGGTTCTTTGTTCCCAAATCTTTTTGGTTGGTGCATCACTTCAGTCCTATATTCAAACTGTTTTGTTTTGTTTTTGTCTATGAATTCCTGAGAGAGGTGTGTTAAAGTCTCCAACTGCGATTGTGAATTTTCCCTTTATGTCTGTCAGTTTTTGTATTTTGAAGCCTTTTTATTAGGTTGGCACACATGTATGATTTTTCTGTCTTTCTCATGTATAAATCACTTATAAAATTTGCTGCTTTTTCTCCATCACTACTTTTTGCTTTGAAGTCCATTTTTAAATGATCATTCCAGCTTGCTTGTGCTTGCTATTTGCATGGTGTGTTTGCATGGTATGTTTTTTCTATCCTCCATTTATCTATTTGTATCTTTATTTTTAAAGTGTCTATAGTATGAGCTAAAGAGAGAAGACTGATTAAAAAGAGCAGTAACCAACTCTGCTCACCAATATGACAATCTCTGCCTTTTTGATTGAAGTGTTTAGTTCACTTTTCCTGTGTTTGTTTGTGTGTGGGTTTTTTTTTTTTTTTTTTTTTTACAGTCAGGATTTTGCTGATGGTGTCCTCAAACCATCATTTAACATGTATTTCTACTCCCCCCCATTTCATATTTGGAGATAGATCAAGAGGTCTGATCAGGTTTGGTTTAGTTGAGTTTTATAGTATTAGTGTTGTGCATTTTATTAGGAGGCAGCTAGTATCTGGCATTATCAAGATCAAAATGGTGAAATGGAGAAACCTCTATTTGGTTACCTTGAAAAATATTTCATATAGGAGTGGCTGGATAAATGCTTGATTCTTATGCCAGTTTTAATAATAATGAGTTAAGTTCCTTAGCACCTTCCAGAGACATCAGGGAGTTTTGTTGTTGTTGTTGTTGTTGTTGTTTTTAATGTATATAAATTTATGAGCATTTCCACCTCTTAGATTTCACCTTAAATTTACAATAAAGCAGCTATTTTTCCTCTTTGTAAATGGAGGAAAATACTATGATCTTCCCTTATTTCTTCTTCGTGGTGAATTTTCTCTCTTAATTACTCTTGACTATTTTCCTCCACTTTCCCCCTCCTTTTCTCCCTCCCCTCCTTTATCTCCCTCCCTCACCTAGTTTCTAATATCTTCCTCTCCAATTTCACATTAGTCACCTCTTTCCCAGGCCCCAGGGAGCCAGGACCTTCTCCCGTGGTCTCTGACCCAGTTTTGGAAAGCAGCATCTGAAAACATTTATTTTGATGGTTTTACAGCTAGTTCATCTTTTTCAGTCAGCAACAGGAATGCATAGAGGGGGAAGGTTCTTCCATATTGCCACAATTAAGCTCATCCACTTAATGAGCACCCAAGACTTTCAGCCAACTACAGCCAAGCAGGGCTATGTATATTAAGCTGAAGATCTTTCTTAGTCTCTATGCTGTAATTCATCTGTATAAAAACATCACATTACCTCCTGATTTGTTTTCCTTTTAACAAAATAGATATTTTCTTATTTGAGAAAGGAAAAAAATGCCACATGACTCCCAGAGAAAGCCCTATAGGTAGAGTATCTGTTCTCCCTCTACTTTTTCTACCAGGTTTCTGTTAGCAATGCAGTTATAATATTTCATGGCCCTTTGCCTGAATAATTTTTTAAAAATATTTTTTATTTTTTACAGAGAGGAAGGGAAATGGATAGAGTTGGAAACATGGATGAGAGAGAAACAGATCAGCTGCCTCCTGCACACCCCCTACTGGGTATGTGTCCACAACTAGGGTACATGCCCTTGGCCAGAATCAAACCTGGACCCTTTCACTGAGCCAAGCCTGAATAATTCTAAGCTGCTTCTCCAGAGGAAATGAATCCGAAGAACTAGACTTGATGTGCACTTCTGCCTTTGGAGACGTCCCTTGATATTATGTAAATCGGCAAGGTTTCATTAATGCAACTACTTTGAGTTGTCTCCAGATTTTTTCAACCTGGTGGTTGTTTTTTTTGGTTTTTTTTTAAATATATATTTTTTAGAGAGGAAGGGAGAGGGATAGAAAGAAAGAAACATCAGCCGGGACCGATTTGGCTCAATGGATAGAGCGTCGGCTTGGGGACTGAAGGGTCCCGGGTTCAATTCTGATCAAGGGCATGTACCTTAGTTGCGGGCATATCCCCAGTGGGGGGTGTGCAAGAGGCATCTGATTGATGACTCTCTCTCATCGATGTTTCTAACTCTCTCTCCCTTCCTCTCTGTACAAAATCAATAAAATATATTTAAACAAGAAAGAAACATCAATGATGAGAGAGAATAATTGAATGGCTGCCTCCTGCATGCCCCCTACTGGGGGAAATCGAGCCCGCAATCCAGGCACAGGCCCTTGGCTGGAAAGAACCTGGGACCCTTCAGTCCGCAGGCCAACGCTACCCACTGAACAAAACCAGCTAACACCAACCTGGTTTTGATAATAAAGTCAGTTTCTGAGATACTTAAAATTTAAAACCACGTGGTATGTGTCAGATATCAGTGCTAGAAAACAGAGACACAATGGGTTTCCATGTTGGTAGCCCCCTACCTAATGTCAGAACCTGGGAATAGGATTCTGAGTGATGGCTTACCTCAGGGTGAGTCATAGGAGACAACTGTTTTGGGGTGCCTTCTAAAAGGGGGTCGCTTAGACATGCAATTAGACGTACAATGGCAATGACAGGGTCACCCTTGACGTTGATCTAGTAGAGAAAGATGGTCATTGAGACCTTGTTTAACTTTGTCTTTATGGGGTCGGATTCTGCTTTTGCCGATATAAAAAAATTGTAGAGAAATTCCAGAATCCAGTTAAATTTGAAAATCATTTGATCTGAGGTTTATAGTGACTTAGCTGGTCAAACTTCTAGATTAGGCCTAGACTTAACTGGCATTTTATTTTTCACCTGATGAGAGATGGCAATGTAGGACACCCTTTTCCCCTTGTTCTTAGTCTCAGTCACCCAGCCCCGTGTTAGAGAAGTCCCCAAAGCAGAAGCAGAAAGAGTATATGAATGACACTTTATGGTATTCAACATCCATTTGACATCAACTATGCTGAGGGTGGTAATACAACGGTCAACCAAGACAATCATGGGCCTGCCTGGTTGGTGCTGGTCATGAGGTGAGCTCCGGGTAGGCCAGGAGCTCAGAGAGCTGTAAATAGAAAGCCAATGAGTACTCTTCAAACTTGTTTACTTGCATACCTCTCTACCAATTTTGGAAAAATCATGATACTTCACTGGATTTTCTTTTTAAAATCTGAAATCATAATTATATTTAAATAGTTTCAAAAGATAACATTTTATATACTCCATCATGTATTACACATATTGACATTTTAAATCCCAATGTTAGTTGCTCTTTTAAATATATCCAGTGAAATCTTAGTATAATAGAGAATTGATAGCCATCATTTTCAGTATTTAAAATTATCTTAAGATTTGTAACAATTGGAGATATTTTATCATTTCTCTTGTTCATTGAATTCTATTCTACTTCTCCATAGAATTTTATCCTAATATGAAATTTTTGCTTAAAAGTATTGATCACCCTTTTAACTACTTCTCAGCATTAAGTATAACATAACACATACTAAATTAATATTTATTATACTATATATGCTATATGTTCTTTCTGTTCCATAAAATTTCAAGAGTTTAATAACCAAATGGCATATGTATTAGAAAATTTATTTGAAATACATCTTTCAATGAAATGAGTAGGTACAGTGTTTATGGTGACTTGATCAAAGAAATTATCTAAATGTTTGGTAGGCAGAGATTTTTATATCCTGCGGTAATACCAGAACATCGGTATTTTTGCACTGGTTCTCTGAGCCTCAAGACCTTAGGGGTCAATGTGGATGGGCTCAGAGGGATGCCTGCACATACAATAGGTTGCATTTCAGGAAAGGAATTGTGATCTTAGGAAACCCAAATGTTTTATAATGGTAAGTATGCCTTCTATTTGCTTGTGGGAGACATTATTATTCTGGACAGCAAGTTTCTTAGGCTGCCATAATAAACTACCACAATTTGGGTAGCTCCAAACAACAGAAATGTCACTGTCTTCCAGGTCTGTAGGCTACAAGTACGAATCAGGGTGTTCGCAGGGCCATCTTCCTTCTGAAACCTGTAGGGGAATTTTTCCTTTCCTTCCTAGCTGTGGTGGTTTAATGGCAAGTTTTGGTGTTCCTTACAGTTGCATAACTCTAGTCTCTGCCTATGCCATCACATGGCATCCTCTCTGAGTGTCTGACTTCATGTGTTTATCTTATCAGGACACCAGGCCTCGCCTACTCCAATATGACCTCATATTAACTTAGTACATCTGCAATGACCTTATTTCCAAATAAAGTCACATCCTGAGGTTCTGGGGATTAGCACTTCAACATCTTTGGGGTGGGGGTTGGGAGATGAGGAACATGATTCAACCATAACAGTAAGCAGTAAACAGCTCATTGCTCCAGATAGAGGGAGACACTTTGTTCCAAGGATGCTTGCAATGATATAAACATCCTTGAAAGATAGTCTAGAACTAAGGGCTTTTTACTGCCTTGCTCTCAAGACCTGCAGAAACATGGGAAACATGGGAAATTGTTTATTTATGTACCATGTGAACGTATGGGTGAGAAGTGAGTTTGTTTTTATCTAGTAGAAGGGTGTTTATTAAAGGAGAAGGTAGAAAGAATTAGCCTACGATGCTAACAGACTCGTTTTGGAAAGAATGCACATGGAAGTTGAGGACCTGAAATGGATTTCATTATAATGGTCCTCATTCTTGGACCTCTGGAAAATGGTCATATACCTCAAGTACAAGAAGCCCGGTTTGGCTCAGTGGTAGAGCGTCGGTCTGCGGACTGAAAGGTCCCAGGTTTGATTCCGGGCAAGGGCATGTACATTGGTTGTGGGCACATCCCAGGTAGGGGGTGTGCAAGAGGCAGCTGATCGATGTTTCTCTCTCATCGATGTTTCTAGCTCTCTATCTCTCTCCCTTCCACTCTGTAAAAATTAATAAAATATATTAAAAAAAAAAAAAAGAAGCCCAGTCTGAAGAGCACTTACTATGAGAGGCTTGGAGGTGCATCTGGGTTTCAAGTAGCCACCTTCATCACAGCTTTGAGGTGTTCTTGGTAGCACAATTCCCCCTTTCATTTCCCTGAACTTATCTGAAGAGAAGTCTCTGTGAAAAGATCGCAGTTAGGCTGAGCACTGACATCAGATGATTAAAAGAAGGCTCTGCCTTTGCTGGGGGAGAAGCAGAACGGGAATAGGTAGTGGTAGCTGGAGGGGATGGAGTTTAGGAATTGCAGGGGGTGTTTGCCGCAGAGCAGGGGGGAAGCCTGTGCACAAAGGGCATGGATTGTGAGAAGACAGACCTGCGGCTGACACTGCAGACAACTGGGGTGACATCCTGACTTCCGATAGTAAGAAGAAGAATTTGTCAAGATGCTGGAATTCCTGCAGTTAAGCAGGATGGGAGAGTTGAAGATTTCTTAAAATGGGTATTAATAAATAATGAATAATGTGAGTTCACGTTACACTCCCCTTGGTGAGGTCTGGACATGCCAGCTAACCTTTTTGACCAAATTGTATATGGCCCACTTGATGTGGAGTCATACTGTAATCATTAATGCAGATACCATGACTTATTTGCATAACTCTTTCATCTGTGCTTTTCAGTAACAAGGCCAGTTTATGAGACCTGTGCTTGAAACTATCTGGCTTAGCAAGTACAGTTGTCCTTGGAAAGCTTGAGAAGGTGATTCTTCATGCATCTTTCAAATGTTATTTTAGTTTTAAACCTAACACACATCTCCAGCAGCAATAATGTTTTCCTGTATAAAAGTTGAGTTGCTAGTCTTGCTTTTTAAAGGGATGGATGATACTGATGAAGGGAAGAAAAGTTTCTTGACTCTGACCTCAGGGAAGTAACTTCCATTAAAATGGGGTCCACAGCCACTAAAGAGATACTGAGCTTCAAAAAAATGTATAGAATTGCCCAGCTGTTGTGGCTCAATGGTTGAGCATTGACCTATGAACTAGGAGGTCACAGTTCGATTCCAAGTCATGGCATATGCCCAGGTTGCATGCTTGATCCACAGTGGGGGGCATGCAGGAGGTGGCTGATCTATGATTTGCTCTCATCATTGATGTTTCTATATCTCTTCCTCTCCATTCTTCTCTAAAATCAAATTACACACACACACACACACACACACACACACACACACACACACACACACTCTAGAGGCCTGGTGCATAAAATTTGTGCATGGGGGGGGGTGTTCCTCAGCCCAGCCTACACCCTCTCCAACCTGGGACCCTTCAAGGGATGTCCGACTGCCCATTTAGACCTGATCCCAGTGAGGGCCTAAACCTGTAGTCAGACATCCCTCTCACAATCCAGGACTGCTGGCTCCCAACTGCTTGCCTGCCTGCCTTCCTGATTGCCCCTAATTGCTTCTGCCTACCAGCATGTTCACCCCCTAACTGCCCTCCCTTGCAGGCCTGGTTCCCCCCAACTACCCTCCCCTCCGGCCCGGTCGCCCCCAACTTCCCTCCTCTGCCAACCTGGTCATCCCTAACTGCCCTTCCCTGCAGGCCTGGTCCCTCCCAACTGCCCTCCATTGCTGGCCATCTTGTGGAGGCCATCTGGTGTCCACATGGGGGCAGCCATCTTTGACCACATGGGGGCAGCCATCTTGTGTGTTGGAGTGATGGTCAATTTGCATATTAATCTTTTATTAGATAGGATATATAACAAAATTGTATAGAATTGTCAAACTTCAACTAGCTACAAGTGAGAATTGAAACAGTATTGGAAAATTGTCAATCACTAAGTTTC